ACTTATCTGTAAGTGATTTATTCAGGACTTACAGTATAGCTGTGAGGGCTACATGGCTCTGGCTTTAGCTCAGTATAAGGACCTTTTCTAGTTTGTTAGTGGTTACCTTTATTGGCGTAAGAATGGTTTGCCGAATCGGGTATAGGACAGCCTTTGTCCCCTTGTGTATAGGCTACGTGTCATTGTGCCATCGGGAAGGGGGTTCCTACATCTGTTTGTCGAGTGAATCTAATGGCCCTAACTTGTTAGACAAACCTTTGAAAGGCTTCATAGTGAACCCTGCCGACCTTCCTTGAAAGTGGGTCAAGAGATTAGCTACCTCGGGCGAAAGGGTAAATCATGACTCACAGTGAAAGTGTACCATCTCTGCAGAGTGTAAAACTAGTATATCAGCCGTGCTCACGGTCATGAGCGGCCTTGGAACATTTACGGAATAGATGATCACTAATGGTTAATGATGATGAACACGGATGATACTGATGATGAATATGCTCATTAATTACTACTGTTTATGCTATTCATTATTCATGTTTATCTGATCATGTGTTTATGGACTTGTGATAAACTTGTTGCTACTCAATTGCTAAAATCATGACTCATTAAAAGCTTACCGCAGTTAAACCAGTGTCAGCCTTTTGAGCCTCATGAACCCCATGTTATATTTGTTGAGTATGACATGTACTTACGCTTATTTTACTTTTTAAATATTTGGATGAAAATCCCGGATGGGTACCAGATTGCTAGAGTTTGGAGGAATTAGGCTTGTGGTCAACCAGTCAGTTCTCCCTGTAGATTTGGAGTTTTCGTCTAAAGATCGGAGTTGTCTTTCCGCTATTTATACTATGAGGTTATATTCCTTATACTAATATGCTATGTATTTAAGCATTGTCTATTGATATTACCCTTATTTGTAGCTATATGTGAGATTTGACTTCCTGGGCTCAAGTATGGTGTGTATCTGATTTTGTTCTTAAAATCGGGTGCTATATAGCATCATATTCCTTGGTAGCCCTGGCCCCTGGCCAATATCCCCACGGACCGTTCCTATCTTTTCCACACAAAAGAAACATGAATAAAATAGGAATAAAATAGGAGGAGGCTGAGAGAGGAACTAGGGTTCCGCTACCGCTGTCGTCGTCGTGTCCGCTTTTCCTCTCGCAAAAACCAGTTAGGCACCATCTCATGTCTTTGTTTTCCGATCAATCTCTCGTTCTCCTCGCTGTCCATGATCGATTTGACACGTTTGGAGTAGACTAGGATGGCGAGGGGGTTAAAACAGCAAGAATTCTCATGCGGTGGAGGAGGGAAGAAGAAGAGAAGAGAAGGAAGGAATAGACGCAGGCCGTTTCATCGGCGCGCTTGCTATATACGTGGTTGCCCTAGGTGAGACGCCAAATCATGATCCAATTGCTTTGATCAAGTTTCATGGATTAAATGGCTTGTTTGGATGAGGTTTAGTTGGAGCAATCCCCAAAATTCATTCCATCCATGTTCTGAAATCCCGTCATGCCGAGCAGTCTCTGTTCATATTTATTTTAAGATATGTTAGAGGCCTTAATAAATTTTGTCACTGTTGACAAAGTTGTAGAGTACTTCACTACTTTCTTTTGACACCAAGATCCACCTCATAGCCTCTGTATTTTGGAAGATATTATCATTTAAAATAGATTGTTTTTCAGTGATGAGTTTTTTTTATAGTTTTATATATAATCATTTTTTTATCATCGTAATGGACGAATTGAACTTGTGATCCAAATATAAGTTTACTGTTGTGTTTTGGTCGTCAGAAAAGTTCATTTAAGTTCAAAGGTTGTTTATGCCATCTTAGAGATCTCTTATGGTGAATCTTAATATAGCAAAGCTGTATATAACGGAGTTTTACATCTGGTCAATTGTGATAAGTTTTTGATGTATGGTTAAAACTGTACGAAATTGAGAAGCAATAGTGTTGCTAAGCCGAAGTGCATTGGTAGTGGCTTAATCTATGGGCTTGGATGTTTTTGTGCGTATGTCATTGTTGTGTAATGGTGTTGGTACTGAGTATTACTTGTGATCAGGTGGTTTGCCATTGGAGGTGCCTCGCTCTTTTGATCAATCATCGATAAAGGCAAGTAAACGTGGCGCCTTGGTCCACATGCTTTAGCTTTGTTGTTTGATTTGCCTCCACTAAATTTTAGTTTATCACACTAGACAGATAATCTAAAATTGAAGTTATTTATTTACTTTGAAGTATGCTATTTTTTCATAGTTTGTGATATTACTCTCTAAATTATGAATTATGAGGTATATATGAAGTATGTGAAGTGCATACATTGCAACATTTACATTTGCACTCTTCCCGTTGATATGCATTTGAAGAAACCGTAGCCGAATTGGTGCAGTAAGTACCGGTACGTCAACGCACATTGATGAGCATTGTGGTTGCAGCCCTCACTCCCTCTTCTTGGGGCGTGTGGATAGAAGTGAAGTCATGCATTGTATTGCAGCATTTGCATTTGCACTCTAAAGTATATTTATATTTTTATGAAGCAGTTGATGTATCTATTATCACATCATTGAAATTTGATGCTAAATCAAACTGTGATTTAAATAACTTGGTTGAAGCAGTTTGCTTGCTGAGGTTCTCTATAAACCTCATACGCTTGTTTCCCCCATCTCAGGTACTTGAGCTTTGAGGATGCTTATTAGCAGAATGGAAGTAGCATGCACACATGTTGTAGACTTCTGTAACATGCTAGTTGGTTTTAGAGTCGTTTGTATGTTGTAATAAATATATGAGGCTTTGTTGGTTAGGTTTGAGGATGTCTTTTCTTATGTTATCGTAGGAGACTCAATTTAATGTTCAATCTAGATGATGGTTGATGCTTCCGCGTTCTCTGATAATGTGTTCTTGTTATAGTGTAGTGTGGTAATACTCTAGAAGGTTGTTGTTGGTTTCCTTCCGGGGTGTTACAATATGTCAGGTGTTTTTAGGAACCATGCCATTAATTTCCCCTTAGCCAACTTTAACTTCTCACTCATTTCTCGCTGTCTGGTCTCCCCTCTCTCTTCATTTCGCTCGAGGTGAGTTTGGCCAGCGGAGATTCTCCACGACGATTCAGTTTCCTTGGTGAGTTTTGTTTGATATCTGCTCTACATCTATTGAATCTATTTTTTTTATTTTTTTCTGTGTGTGTACATATGTGTTCTTGAGTTTCACGTTTCTGTCCCTTATGTGACTTTGGCCGAGTGATCTTCATTGTTGTCTAATCTAGTCTCTAGATTTGTTATTTTTCCTTTTGTATGTTGGATCTCATAGATTCGGTCATGTGCCTTCGTGTGATTTTGTATTGCTTTGTTTTTTCGAGGTCAAACATACTCTTGTTCATTTCCTTCCTTTCGCCTTGTTTTGGGTTCAACGAAGTGGATTTCATTTCCTTCCTTTCACCTTTCTAGATTTATACTCAGTCATTGGACTATAATGGACCTAAACTGTGTAGTCATTCACATAAAGCCTCTCCTGATCAAGTGCCATTTGATTGTACTCACATCTTTCTATGTGAATTTGCGCTTGAGTCACAACACGGACAACGAATTCCGGTTTCATTCTTGTTCATTTGCAATTCTTGTTCATTTGCATGCTTCTCTGCGGCTTCAGTGAATCCATTCGCTTCAACACGGAAAAGTGGCCACCTTAATGAACCATGCATCCAAGAGTTCTTGTCCATGTTTTAAGACATTAAATAAAGAAAAAGGTTAATTGATATATGTAACAGTAACCAGTATATAAAACGTCCCCTAATTAAACAATTAATATTCATTTTACAACTATAATCAACAAAACTTAAAGAAATTAGCTTAAAACTATTAATATTGAACACATTATTGATACAGACTTAATCCCTACCTAAAAACTAACTAATACTTCAGAAACGTTAGTACATGGCCACTAAATCAGGATAGAATCTTGTTACCCTACTAAATTTGACATTCAAAGTTTTGGTCTAATTTCTTTCGTAAATGCAATAGAGAGAAAATCAAAACCCTTGTTAATGGGGAACCATCTTTAGTGCCCGTCTTTGGAGTTTGGACGGCCCGTCCCTTCTGCTCGCCCCAATGGACGATGTGGTGATTCGAAATGCCTACATGCATGGACATTTCATAGTATATATTTATTGTTGTTTTAATTTTACAGAAAAATAAACAACGCACATGCATAGGCCTGGAGCAATAATCGTGACTAGGGATGAAAACGGATCGGATACGAACGGATATCACTAATATTACATTTGTTTTCATATTTCTGTTCGGATTCGGATTCGAATACAGATAGTGTCAACCATATCGGATAGGATACGATTGGATATCGACATCATAAATATGCGATTTGAGTATTCGGATACGGATACGGTATCGGATGTTGAATATCCGGACTCGGATACGAACAGATCTGAACCCTTTTAAACGGATTCGGTCTCGAATACGGTCGGAAAATATCCATACCGTTTTCATCCCTAATCGTGACACAAAAATAAGAGTAAAGACCACTACCGGTCCCTAAACTTGTATTGCTGTGTCATCTCGGTCCCTAAACTTATAAAATAGTTGTCTAGGTACCTAAACCTTGTTTGGATCTCAGATTCAGTCCAAACGGGTTTAAACCCGTTACCCATATGCCTGACATGTGGGGGCCACGAATCAGCTTCGTCTCCCTCCTCGCTCTTCTCTATCCCGTGACCTCCATCTCTCTTCTCTCTCAAGCTCCTCTCTCCCTGGGATGGCGCGGCTAGGGGAGGCACACCGCCACGGCTGCAACCCTCACGAGCTATGCTTGTGTGCCACAAGTTGCCACAGCCCTCGCGCGACATGCGCCGCCACCGTCATCGTCGTCCTCCTCTCCTTGCTTCCCCTACACGATTCGGCTACCATTCCCCTGATGCGTGTTTTCTGTTCCTAGCTTTGTCTGTTGGTGGAATGCATCTGCAGGGCAGAGAGCAACAGCGCTGCATAGCCACGACCGGATGGACGCGCTCCGTGCTGTGCGCGGTGCGGCCGGCCGCGGCGGGCCGGGCATGCTGATGCCGGAGAAGTTTCAGAGCGGCCATATGCCACGCGGCGCGACGGTGCCGCTGTCACGCTCCTCGCTGCGCAGTGACGACGGCAGCGCCACCTTGGGATCCGACATGGACGACGAGTCGTCGGACAACGACGAGATCGAGGTCTGCAGCGGCAGGTACTCGGTCGATTCGTCACCCCCCGCCGCGACGATGTGACCCGAGGCACCGCCCGCGTCCTGCTTGACAAGATCATCTATTTTTCTGTCGTCACGTTCGTGGCCCCTGTGTGCGCAAATTAAAGGCCTTGCAACACTCGCTGCAGTTGATCGGTGGCCTGCGGCGTCTCGGCGCCGAGCCGCCGAGGTGCTGACGCGCCTCGCCATGATGTGGACGCGCGCGAGCTGGCACACCACCTTGTCCACGTCGGGGTCAGCGAGGGTGTGACCGTGACTGTGTCTGTGACTCTGTGTTGCTGTTGCGTATGGACAAGATGCTGAGGAACTTGTTTGAGTGTGTACAGGGATGGTGGCCCGAGTGCAAGGCGGAGGCGAGGAGCAGCGAAGCTGGAGCGCTGCCGGAGGCAGAGCCGACGCGATGATGCTGCCGACGATGGATGCGTTGGTTTCCTACTCAACAACAATGACGATGGGTTCGCCATGAGCCCATGAGGACGGGTTGAGTCGTTGGCTCGGGAGAATAGAGAGGGAGGGAGCTCAGCGGCGACGGGCTGCGGCAGCAGCTTCGTGCCGCCTCTGGTCACCGGAGAGAAAGTAGAAGTGTTTTGATAGTTCCGGACCAAAATAAGATAGGTAGACAAGTTTGAGGACGGGATAGAAAACCGGCATGACTAAAATTCACCCTGGGCATTCGGTCAGACCGAACCGATCGGTTCGGTTCCTCGGTCATTCGGTCAGTTCGGTCATCAGAAACCTGGGACCGATCGATCTTTGCAAAAAACGAAGACCGAGGAAGTTCGGTCTCGGTTAGTTCGGTTCGGTCTCGGTCACGACCGAACTAACCGGACCTGAGTAGCAGCCACAAACAATAGCAGAATCTATAGCAATTTTCAACAGCATGCTTGCTATTTGAAGGCAAAAAAATAACAACACAATATATAAAACAAACCACACATTATTATGACAAGTTCTAGCACACAACTTTCTCAGTTCTCACAAATCACAATCACACATAATGACATTACGAACGAAGTCTACAGAACTACGGTCAGTTCGGTCACTTCGGTTAACCGACACATATGACCGAACTTCTATCGGTTACTTCGGTTAGTTGGGAGCCAGGACCGAACTCATGACCGAACTTTTCGGTCTTCGTTCTTCGGTTAATTATGCCCAGAGTTAACTAAAATGAGACCCAAACATTGTTTAGGTACCTAGACCGTTTTGTCAGTTTAGGGACCGGGATGACACAACGGAACAAGTTTAGGGACCGATGGTGTACTTTGCTCAAAAAATAAAGTTGGCTCAATTGCATGCCTTTGTATTTCTTAGAGTTAACAATAATCCCTGCAGGACATTCACAACCCTGAAACCACGGAATAGTTTCTCTAGTCGTCATGTTAACAAGAAACCCCTCCTACAAACCATGCCCCTCAGCGCGCTTCGTTTCTTGATATTCTCTCTGCATTTTTTTTTCTCTCCCGTGCTCTCTCTGCTTCCGTTTCTCCCTAACAGACGCGCAGCAACGAGGGGCTAACGGGCAGCAGCGAGCGACTGCTCCTGTTGACCAGGCCAGGAGCCGAGGCCAACCAGAGACGGAGCAGCAGGCAGCCGATCACGACGCCCACGAGGCGTGTGGTGCCTACTGTCTCACCTGCTCTTGCTTTTTCTTTCCGTGATCCACCCAACCCAAGTAAAAGTCCGACATGTAGCCACTCAAATTTGCTTCCAAAAATTGTAGCTTTGGTTCCTGATTTCGTGTTAGATTTATTTACTGACATTTGAAGCCTTCAGGGCTACTTTCTACTCCCTTCATTCCAAATTAAAAGTCATCTCAGGTTTGACCAAAATTATAGAGAAAATTACAAGATTTATGACATTAAATAGGTATAATAAGAAAATATAGTTAATGAAGAATCTAATGATACTAATTTGATATCATAAATATTATTATTTTATTATATAAATTTGGATAGACTTGAAATATTTTGACTCTATAAGAAAATTAAAATGACTTATAATTTGATATGGAGAAAGTACATCTTATTTTTCCAGATTTAGTTTTGTGTAGGGTGGCCGCCAGTCGCCCAGCAAGCGGGGCGACCAGCATAGCGGCGAGCCGGGCATACTGCACGGCGACCGGCGAGGCGCAAGCAGAGTAGGCCTACACGCTGGAAAGTGGAAACGAGTGCATGCCCCATCGCTAAAACCAGAGATTTCTTAGCTTTTTGGAGGTTATAGGACAACTTCGTTTCTTGTCTCGGAAACAGATTCTCTATCTCGGTCACATTACATTTATTTTTATTTTTCCTCGCCTATTTCCCTGCTCTCGTCACTGTCTAGTGGCGGGTGTTGGGGGCCATGCCTTGTTCCTGAAGGTTCACTAACAATAAAACCGATCTTTTCGTGATGTTTTGATAGGGACACCGGTGAGGAGTTAGCCGAAGGCCCGAGAGCCAACAAGGACGATGAAGCGAAGGCTCCTGAGGCCTTCGCTCAAGAAGCCTCCCCAAGGGGCAAGCCTTCGCCAGGGTCCGATGACCTCTGGCGTGCCGATGGTGCAAGGGCGAAGGACAGAACCTTCGGGCCATGATGTAAAAGCGAAGGCGGATGGAGGAGATCAAAGGCCAGAGCCCCGATCAAGGTGAAGATGCGTCCCTAGCTGCGGAGCTAGGAGGACTCTAAAGGGGAGCTTGTTGGGCTGAGGGCCTGACTCGACAATGGCCCATCAGGGAAGGCGGTTGAGCATGTAAATGGCACCGAGGTCCTCAGGACATGTACACAGGATAGGGGAATATGCTAGGATATGCCTTAGCTGGTAGAAGGGCAATATGGTACTCATAGAATCATGTAACCATACCCTATAAAAGTGATGGCTCGGCCCCAATAAAGAGGGGGAGTTGTTGGCTCGAAAACCCTAGATGGTGCCTCTTTATCTGTGTGTTCCACCAAAGAAGGCCTTCGACCCACAGAGGGTGAGGCACATCGCTCCCCCCCCCCCTACCTTGTCGGGACTCTCGTTTCCCAACAGCCGGGATGAGGGGCTCACCATGTAGGATCACCTTAAACTGGGAGGGGCAGGCTTGGCCTCGGTCGCAATTGTGGCGCGGTGGTAGGGGAAGAACGTTAGGTGGGCTCGGCCTCAGTGGTAGTGCGGCAGCAGGGAATAGGACGGCGGCGCACAAGATAGTCGACATAAGAAAAAAATATGCTGAAGGAAGTTGGTGCATAAAAAAATTGCCGCTGAAAATTAAAGGGCTCTTTACACCCCTCTGGATGGTGGGGCTAAAAAAAAGGAGTAGGAAAATTTAGAAACCACTCGAGTTGTGGAGTTTTTTTTTCTTTCTCTGGCACCAATAGTAAAGTATGAGCCCCTGTTTTAAGATGCTTGCAAATACGGAGTACTCCCTCCGTATCCGTTTTAGATGACGTTCTGGCGTCGTAGTCGTTTGCGCGAAAGGAAGACGTTGCGGCTCGTGGGATGGAATTTTGACTCATTTTTGGTACGCCCTTTCGGCCGGTTATCGATCGACATCGGTGTCGCCTTCCTTCATCTCCGCATGCAGCCCGACTTTGCCATCGCTTCGCCCGCCATCCATCACGCTCTCGCCATCCCTCGCCGCCTAACAAAGCAAAGTCCACCAGTTCATCTTCCTCACATCACGCTCGGCATGGAGACCGGCGGCGCGCTGGTGCTGGTCGCTGCGGAGGACGTCGTGCCGGACTCGGAGGAGGTCGCCGCGGAACGGACACGGAGGAGGCATTGGACTTATCATCGCGCCGGACTCCGTCGCACTCTGATCCGTCGAGAGCCATGGACTCATCACATACGGACTCCGTCGAGATGGTGCCGGACTCCTTGCCGCCGGGTGCTTTTCTTTGCCCTCACTTTGCAATCAAGTTCATGAGGACCGGGAATCATGGAACCGTGTGCACTCGCGGTTCTGGCCATGCTCTCGATGTGGTCTCGTCCACTATGAATACATGGTCTTTGCCATGATTCACGGCCTCGATGAGTTCGACTGCGAGGTTTTCATTCCCGATCCCAACAATATCGTGATGCATGGCGATAGTGTCGTCATACCCCCTCACGTGCTCAAGATGCTCGACGACAAGCTCGAGCGTGAGCGCTCTGCCAGGAAGGATGACAACTGTGCATCGGTAAGAATGTCTCTACTAATTATATAGCATCAATCTAAATATAGTAGTTCATGCAGCAAGAATGTCTCTACTAATTATACCATCAATCTAAATAGTTCATGCAGCGAGAATGTCTACTAATTATAGCATCAATCTAATTTTGTCATGCAGCAAGAGTAGCCTCGGCTTCATGTAGCACTGAGGGATCAAAAGGGATGCAAGATGGCAGCCGATCTTCTCTTTCTAATGTTTCTTTTTTCATGTGAGGTATCTTGATCTTGTTGCAACCTTTCACTTTCATAGCTTCCATCAAGACACCTTGTAGTGTAAGAAACATTCGGTTTGCAAGGCGTGGCGAGTACTCCAAGAATGCCTACAAAACAATTGTGCACGAAATGAATGAATGAGCAAATTTGTTGTTCAAAAAAACCATTCAAACATGTGTGAACAATCTGAACAAATTTACCTCTTGCACGACTGGAAGTAGATCCTCCATTGTTTTTGCATTCTTCTTATATTGAATTGCTTGTATAGCTCGAAAAAACCCCAAGTCAAGAATGTTGAAATCCGGAGGGTTTGGAGGTTGACAAATTAGGCGAATATCGAATCCTCCTAGCTGAGCATGGGAACAAAATTCCGGATCATCCAATTTTAAATGGGTAGGTGCATTATCTTGTTGAATGAAGATCGGTTTGCCCACATCTTCTCTTGGCCATTTGGCTCTAATGGCAGGCAACACTTGATTGATCATGAATTCTCTAATCACATCTCTTGTGATATTAGTTATAGGCTTCATAACCAAGTCTCCACGGACACGGCCGGTTCTCTCATTACCTCTCATAGCCGGTTCATATCGAACAAGTGGAAAACAACCAATCCTACCATCAAAAATACAATTCCCATCCCTAAACCTTGGCCGAGCACAAGCACACAAGAACATGAGCCTAGGGATGTAATTCTTGTTCTTACAAGTCCGATGGGGTTCATCTTCTTCGGGTAGCAAATAATATTTTTTAGATTTTTGGCATAGATAGAACCATTTCTCATCAATGAACACAAAGTCATACAACTCCTTAAACCTTGGATCATCAAGCAACTCTCTGTTAACCATGTCAACACACCATTGTAACCTAGACCTCTTGTTAGCTTCAGTGAGATATGGCTTGATGCTACTAGAGTGGTGCCTAAGGTAACCTTTTTTCAAATACCTTTGAATCTGCCATTTACTCAAATTTAGTGCGGTGCACACATCATCTATAGTCATTCTTTGCTTTAGAGGAATGTTTCGCAATGGTTCTAAATCAACAGGGACTTTCTTATGGCCTACTCTACCCTTCTTTAGACTAGAAACCACAACCGGAACTGAGTTTGCAAGCTGTGTTTTACCTCTCTTCCATACCCTCTGAATTGTCCGAACAGGAATCCCAAATTGCTCAGAAACAACTGCAGTGTCTTTGTTGCCTAGTTTCCCATTGTTGCTTCTAGCCAACAAAGCTTGATAAACTTGTTTTCGGAGGTGTTCAGACATTTCTTTCCTTCGGTGGGGTTGTTGACGTTGTTCTTCCACGTTGGGGTTCTCCACAGCATGTTCTGTTAAAAGAAAACAAACATTAGTTCCGGCAGCATTTTGTTAAATACTCCATGTTCATGCAACTTACACACGGCATGTTCTATTTATAGGAAACAAACATTAGTACGAACATTAGTTCCGGCAGCATTTTGTTAAAAGAAAACAAACATTAGTAGGAGCATGTTCATGCAACTTACACGGCATGTTCTATTTATAGGAAAAAAAAATACGAGCACATTCATACAACGTACACACGGCAAGTTGTAATTATAGAGAAAAAAACAACCACATTCATGCAATAGTTACTACTTGGACACGGCATGTTCTAGCTATAAGAAACAAAAACAAAGTCTTTTGTAAACCTTACCGGGCAGATTTTGTAGAAAATCTAAATCAACAGCACCGAACTCGTCTAGTGGCATGTTCAAATCAAACCCTGTCCATAAAAAAAAAGAAAAATGAGAAACAAAACTACACGTTGTTGCTTTGATATCAAAACAAACAAACAAACAGAGTAGTAGTACATTACCATGTGTGGCATGATCCTCCAACGTTGGCTCATTGATATCGCTTGGTAGATTGTCGTGGTCTTCTTCTAAACGGACATTCAAATCAAATGGAATAGCCATTGCAGAACATGGAAAGAGAAGAAGTGGAGAAGGAAAGGAGTGAACCACGGCACAGATGCAGCACCGGTTAAATAGGAAGGGGTAGATGGACAGACGGCGGTCGAAGAAAACGCGAGGCGTGCGGTGAAAAAAAAAAAGACCGCCAAACCTAGCTGCTGCACGGTGCGAAAAAAATACGAAAAAAGACCGCCAAAATGTTGCCGCCGACGGCCAAAACACGCGCGCGCACGAGCAGCCACCACGGCAAACGAAATGCATTCGTGTACAGTGCCATGCAAAATGCATCACATATAAAAAATAAGCGAGCTGCGGGGACTCGAACCGGCGACCTGCTTCGCTGGGCACCCAAGAGCTAGCCACTAGAGCAACGCATCTTTTATATACAGGGGACAACTGCAGCCCCATTTAATAAGGGTAGACATGGAAAATTACTCCCTAATTAATCTCTCCTTGGTAAGCGTGCTCATGTCCTAAACGTCATCTAAATATGATATGGAGGGAGTATAAAACAACAAGCGTCCATCGTGAGTGGATGGATTACATTTTACAGACCCATCGATCGGTGGATCCATGGACCACGGGTGACTTGTCGATCGAACACAAAGAGGTCACAGACGCCAAAAGAAACAGCGGAAACCAAATTACGTGCACAGGCCAGCATTTACATATGTATTGCTGCTGTATCATCATCATGAGGTATACATACATACGGAGTATATACGAACATTTACGTAGGGGATGTCAAAACAAGACCGACTTGTCAGGGCCCCTGGGTCCCTGCTGGGCCTGGGCGGCGATCGCCTCGCACCTCTTCTCGCAGTTGAACACGCCGAGTCGTCTGAGCTCGTCGCACCCGGCCTTGCAGTCCGTGACGGCGGACGCCGGAGGGGCGGCTTCCAGCGCGATGAGCGCGACGAGCAGCAGCGCCGCCACGACGAGCACCGTCTTCTTGGCGGCCGCCATTCTTGAAAGCTTTTCCTAGCTTTTTGGTGGGATTTCTTGGTGCGAGACGTTGGATCCAGTCTTCGTCTAGGATTATATAGGCCGGAGGGAGTTGTAAATTGGGAGCGTGTACGTGAGGCCACGAGAGCTTCGCGCTCTAGCGTGCAATTATATGCATGCGTGCGTTTGGTTTTGAGCATGTCCGTCCGACGACAGGTGCGCCGTTCCAGTTCCAGGAGGCCATTTCTTTACTGTTACTGCTAAGGCTATCTTCAACAGGAGACCCAAATAAAAATAGTCTTCAACCGAATATCTATACCCTTCAACATAGTATGTATATGAAAGACCTATTTTAAGTATAATGAGAGACATAATTTAAATATGAGTATCCTCTCTTCCGGAGACCTATTTTCAGAAAGGGTTCTTTTTTAAGGCTCGTTGTTGGAGAAGACCTTTTATGGGTACCTGTAACGCTACCTAAATATAGAATGGGTCATGTATTTTGGATATTGATTGTCGAAGACAATCTAAAAAGATGAAACAGCTCTCCGTGGTGAAGCCGCTAGGCCAGGCGGTGCCGTACTTTTTTCAGGTAACAAACGCTATTTTTCTATCACGAACCAATCAGCCAATGGCTTATAAGCGAAACATACAGGGCAATTTGCGCCGACAGGTGGCCCACGCGCTCGACCCTGCGACTCCCACTCTGCGCGACGACGCCCCAATCTTTTCTCCACCCGCATCCGACATCCTCCCAGGCTCCCAGCTCCTCACACGCCCTCCGTCCTCCCAAGCGCACCGCCGCCCAAGCCGCAAAGGGCCCCTGCGGCACCGCGCGTGCGCTCAGCTCCACCACCCACTCCGACGCCGCGCCGCCGCGAGGCCGCGCCAAGCCGTCGCCAGACCAAATCCCACGACGCCGTCGCTCCGCCACGCCCTTCCCTGCTCGGCTGCTCCGACGATCCAGGGGAACGAACGCCGCGAAGAAGAAGGACCGTTGAAGGAGCTCCGAGCAGCCGAAGAAGCGCGCCCTCTCCCCGCGGCTGTGACCTACAGCATCTAGGGTTAGGGTTTGAGGCTTCGAGCCCTTGGCCGGTATGCTGCGTCTCGCCCCTCCGTAACCTCATCTTGAAGTTGAGTTGAGTTGGGTGACACATTTGGTGTTTGAGAATTTTGCCACATTTTAATAAGAATTTAGTTGGAGAGAGATGTTGCTATGCTGCTTGTACTATAGTTTTCTTTTTTCCTTCTAATTATCACTGCAACAGTCATGAGAGGCTTTTGCATTACACATATATAATCATTACATGTATTAGGTTTTCTATGTGACCATCTTAGGTTTTCTACTATAGTTTGGATACATATTTATATGAGCTAAAATCCTCAATAAATTTCCTCATTTAAACACTTCAGTAGCAAAGCTACTATGGTGTTATTAGATAAATCTTTATTTCACTGAATATTCTGTGGTAAGAGCAAAGCTACTATGGTGTTTACCGGCAACTTAGACATGACTCACTCATAAATATGTTTCCTTTTTATTTCCCAAAGCCAGGTTCCAACTTCCAAGTGAAGAAGAAACAGACCTTTCAAAACTGATTACTACTACGTTGTTCTATGGATAGTTTGACCACAAGTGCTCTAGCACTAATATCAAAGGCTTAAATATTGGTGGACTGGAGCTTGGAGACTATCTTGGTGAGTTCATTGTAATGCAATCACAAGCTCCCATCCACTTCTCCATTTGGGTTTCAAATCCCCTAAGCTGTTGGTAAAAGAAAACCACAATGAAGGAAGAACGCTACAACTGTCTGATTTATGGACCAATCGGATAGAAATCCTTTAAAAAATAATAAAATAACAAGTTCTGGATTATACCTATACTGATATTTTTCATTATTCAAGTGCCTGCAGTGAGGAGCTTAGTGTTTTGTTCCATCCACAAATGACAATAAGCTGCCCAATTGGTTTTCCAACCTCTTTTTCAAACAATGATTTTCTTAGGGCTTTGACAGTCTTCTTGAATATATATGTCGACTGACCCCAGTGTTCCTTTTAGATACCCTTTTCATAAAACATACCAATATGTTTAACTCTTTAGTTCTAACCATTACAATTACCTGTAGATTTATTTGTCAGATGAACTCAAAACTAGGTGTCATTGGTAAAAGAAAAAACATTGATCCAAAAAGACTAAACTATATAATTGCTAATTGCTATGAACTGAGGTTACTACTTTTGCATCTTTTCTTGCCAAAAAAAAAGAGAAAACTAACTATTTGCATCTTGAGGTTACCATTACCACAAACTATTTCAATGTAACTATATAGGTGTTATGGTCTCAGGTTACCACTAACTTTTTCAGGTTGCTACTTGATGCTGTTTAGTCCAGTTAATGAGATTGCTTATCCTCTTTCGGCACCAATGATAAACAGCCTGCTCCAAGTAGTAGTCGCAGTGCTCCCAGGAGCTTGGTGTCCATGGTGACAGGCGTAGTCCCTATTCTACACTCTTGACGATTGAAAGGGCTGATAACAACCTCCTGGCATGAGGTGGGGCTAGGAATGCTCTGCTTTGCTGAAATTATGTGCTATGTTTTCAGTTTTCAATGGAATATATTTTTTTGAACGGCTATGTTTTTACCTTTTCTGTTTTCACTGGAATATATTTGAACAACAAATGTTTTACTTTTCAGTTTTCAATGGAATGCTCTATCTGAATGTAGTTGCTGAAATTTTGTGCTTTGTGTTTAATTTTAAAATGAATATATTTTCTGAACAACTATGTTTTTACCTTTACAGTTTCCAGTGGAATATATTTGAACAACTTTTTTTGCCTTTTATTTTCAATGGAACGCTCTATCTGAACATAAATGTTATGTTCATGTGCTTCAATTCCGTGAAGTATTCTCCCCTGAAAATGGATGCATTTCCAATTTACAGTTACTTCCAAAGTCATACACTTATGAACCCTTCTGATTTTTGGGTTTCTTTATGGCAACATTTATACAAGAGATGAACTATAGTGTAGGTTAATGATATCAACAAGTTTTGGAATTTTAGCTCAACCCTACAGTTCCTTTCGATGCAAAATAAATTAACTGCTATGTGGTCTTGGCCAGCAATGTGTGTAGCGCACGTACCGACGGCCGTGTGGGCGGGGACGTGGGCGCATCCGCCATGGCCCTCCCGCCCATGAAGACAGGTCCAGCAACAACCAGGGTGACTCCAGCTTCTATGAAGCAATCTCGTGGCCGCAGCGCTACACTTGGGCAATGACATCAACGAGGTCGGCGTCGTGGCAATGTCGATGGCGCTGTATGAGCCGGCCATAGGCGGTGCGTGCGCGTCCACGTCCAGCGGGTGGAACAGCAATGCGCTGCCCAAGAGGACCAGGGACCAGTTCGATAGACGCACTGAAGTTGTGCTCCTAATTCTCTGTTCATGACAATGGGTGCAGATTGAATAAAATTCAGTTCAATTCGTGATGTCAGTCATTTGTTTCTTGCTATTAAGACCCATAACTATTTTATTGTATGCCATATGTACGAGTTATTTCAGAAAGGGGAAAAACGACAAAATCAAGGCTTCATTGAATATTGATAGGACCAGTAATAGAAAATCAAATGGCACCATTTCCACTATATTACTTGTAACTATATTTGGAGCATTGAGCACCCATCGGGACTCGAAAAATCTGACAATTGTTTGGCGATATCCAACAATGTAGAACATCTGAATGCTTTTCAAGTTCAGTTGTAATTTATTCTTAACGAAGTATGTTACGTTCTTGAGAAAAGCTATGTACTATATTTTCTCTGTATTGATCAATTTATTCTCTTTTTGCAGGTTACCATGTTGGCATGGAATACAATTAGAGTACTGTATTTAAGTATTTAACTATCTGCAATAAAAAGGTATAGGTGACCCTGATGATTGTTTCAGCATTTCTGTGTTCTTGACATTCATTTTCCAAACGTTTGCAGACCATTTTTAATTTCTTCTGTATATAGGGTAGAAAATCTTATGAGTGGATTGGTACTTTGACTAGCAAATTTTGTGTACGCTCTACCCGAGAACAACCACCTGTATTATTCACTTAAGTTAATACTTTCATAATAAGGAACCTTAATATAGCTTTGTCTTGCAACATCACCTATAATTAATACCTATGTTACATTATAAATTGGATGATGCAAGTTTGTTAGTAGATGAATGTAATTGAGTCATGTGATGTTCCTTTGCTTACTCTAATAATAAGTAGCTGAGTTAATAGTGGTTTATAATCCTTGTAATTAATTACTTATGCATAATCTCGTTAGTAGACCAAGTGAAGAACTTGGTTGCTCTTGTATGCTGAAATGGTTGTATGAGCAGTTCATGTTAAGTGGTAGTTTCCATGATGCAAATCATGTTTTATGTAAATGTGTTGAATACAAAAGTTATAGATAACTTCCATGTCTTGCATTGTATTATTCTCTTCTATGCACGATATCAGTCTACTAGAAATTCAATTTGGACTTAGTAAGGCCTTGGATGCTACACGTTTTCCAGGAGTTAGAAAATGGACGATTCATTTATGGATTGAGTTTGATATGTGCAAAAAAGGGGAACCGTGGCATGGATGCTTTTATGGGTTTTATATAGTGTTTTGTTGCTTGATTAAATGTTGTCGGTTGTGGATTGTACATTTCAGTTTGATGCTATGTTTGTGGCACACGGCACACTGGGTTAGTGGTTGTTACGAACATGAATTAGCACCCAAGAAAACGTAATAAACAGCAAATATGTGCATGGTTGTTTTGACGCTATTAAATTGGTGCCCATGATTCTTTACCTTAAAAACATGTTGCTAGGATCAGATGGACTGTAGTATCAGATGACCTCAATTTTTCATGCTCCTACAGCATTGAAAATTTTGAGAGTCGTAGCAACGCCGGACGGAAAATTGAGCTCCTCTTAGCATTGAAAATTTCAAGACTCACGTAGAAATGCATAGGTGAAATTTTTTAGGGATCCCATAGCGACGCACGGGCATCTGCCAGTTTGCAAAGGAAAAAGAAAGCAACAGGGGGAGGCTCTCCGATGAAATCGGGCGGGAACCTTACCAATGGCTACTCCACCTCGCGGCCGACCAGCCCACCACCAAAAGAAATTCAGCCCATTGATTGCCTCATTGGCCCTAACACACGTGCGAGGAAAGGAAAAACCTTGAGGGCCCATCTAGCCCTTTTGCACCCAGCGGAAAACGGGGCCTCCAGACGCGCGAGGTCACAAGTCCCGGCCCAGCCGGCCCAGCTCGCAACTCAACCGGAGACAACGCATGCTTTGGTACCAGTAGTTGCTTGGTGTGGTGTGACTGGAGAGGACGACCTTGGTACGCGTCGTCGACTCGTGGTTGACCACACTGTCAGAGGGAGCAAACTGATTCCAGCTCTCTCGTGCCCTGTTCGTTTGACCTCGTAAGGTAGAACCGAAAGTACTGTTGGCTGATTTGCTATGAGAGAAAAATATTGTTTGTTGACCGAAAAAGCATGACTTATAAGCCAAACGAACAGAGCGTCGGTCTCTCGGGTCGGGTGTATGGCCCCGTTCGACTCGCTGAAACTTGTCTGAAAAACACTGTTCCGATTGAAATAACAAGCTAAATAGTACGGATTATAAGGTAAACCGAACGGGTCATATATATATATATATATATAGGAGAGTATATTCAATAGCCAGCTATAAAATAAGTTATTATATAGCCACCTCCATTTACGATAATTTTATATACTAATTTACGATAATGTCAATACATATTTACGATGGTTAGATTACTATAACACATAGAGATATTTACCATAACGTTATAGTAAATCATTTATGAAGGAGTTACTATAATCTCGTAAATTAATATAGTAATTATCGTAACTCAAAGTGGCTACAGAATAAGTTATTTTATAGCCTGCTACATGATAGTAGTTATATATATATATATATACGGCCATGGGTGCTGCACTGCGGCTGATCGCAAGTGATGGGAGAAGAAGAAACGGAGCTTTCGCGAGCCAATGCCACGTCGTGCGCTGTGTGTGTGTCTGTCTTTGAGAATGAATGGAAACAACAACAGGCACAGGCCGGTCCTCCACTCCATCATAATTCATATCTGCCTCTTTACTCGCACCGATGGACCGGTCACGCTTAATTTGGCGCGTCGGCGTCACGTTTGGTGGTGCAGTTGACGGTCTCGCGCGCGGCCGGTCCATCGCCCAACCAAGGCCAACTGCTTGTTTTGCGTGCTCTCTCCGTCTCAACTCCCTCTATCACTCTCTCAAGCACTGAGAGAGACGGCCGGGATATATGCTCTCATTAGGCGCTGAACCCATCACAGCTATTGGTGGTGGTGGTGGGCTAGCTAGTAGAGTACTGCTACTCCCTAGAGTACGTACGTTCATCACCTTCACCGTACGTACGTACCTGGTGGGACGGCCGCGCTATTCTTGCCGATCGGTGAACGACAGGGCAGGGCAGCAAACGCAAGGAGTGCCCGGGGAAACAGTAACATGAACTAATCACGCTCTGACGAAAAATAATAGAGGCTGGTCGATGAGTAGATAGAGCATATAGAAAATAAGAAAATTTTAATTAGCTCACGTTTAGCCTAATATCCAACGACGCGCGGCTTAATCTCGATCACATCTTGAGGTAATAATAAAAGAGTACTCCACCACGACTCCACGAACAGCGAAAAGCACGCTCAATCAATCCTCACTCAGCGGCTCCGTCCTTGCTCAGAAAAAAACTAAACCACCGACAGATGGGTCTTTTTTTTCTCTACCTTTACAACTCACTCTGTCAGTCCACTAACACCACACATATTCACGTCGTGAAGGAATAGATTGCAGATAAAAAAAAAGTACACTGTTCATGCCATGACTAAACTTTAACCCGGTGAACCGCCCTGTAGCCTGTATACTGCTTTCCACTGCCTCCGTCGCCATATTGTACGGTTTATGTCTCTCTCTCTCTCTTCCTAGCACTAGCGCTAGCACGGATCTATCCATGGACACATGATGGATAGAATGGAATGGACCGATGACGGACGGGCGCTACCGATGCAAATTCTAAAGTTCTGGATGCGTAGTGTTTTCCTTATTTTCTGTTGCGGCCCTCTTGGGTTCGCTTGCTTTCCGCCGGTCGTGCTCGTGCACCGCTCATTTGCGCATTATTATATCAGCCGCTTTATTTTATTCGTGGGGCCAGCTAAGCCTAACGATAGAACAAAAGTACACACACGATGACTCGCCACTCAATATTTGTAGCTAGTCGTGTTCGTTCATCCGTTCCCCCTTTTCTCCTATCTTTGACGTCACAACCAGGCACAGGATGATGGAGAAGACGGAGGCCACCGCCACCGAACGGTTGGCAGGGTAGGAAGAAGCGGCCGGCGACTGCTCTCGAGTCGTTCCCATCCCATCTCGATCCATGGACATGGGCAAGGCACCGGCGCGGCATGCCCATCAGCCCCATGCCGCCATCCCATGATCCCGTCCCGTCGTGCGACAAGCGCGGCGAGACAATCGACCGGCCTCTCAGAAGCGAGGTGGTGGTGTTGCCACACGCTACGCGTGCAGCGCGCGAGCACAGCTCAGCTGCACGCGACGCACGGAGTTGCTTCGCGCTGTAAGCAAACGTCAAGCCGGAGCCCGGAGCAAGCAAATTAAAAGGAAAGCGACGCGGCAGCGCACATGCAGAGCAGAGCGCGGAGGATCGGATCGGATCGGAGCGCACGGCGCGTCCTCCGGGACCCTGACGCGTCTGCCTTCTCTGCTCTTTACTACGCAAGCTTTCGTTCTCCTCTCAAGTCAAGCCTCGAGCAACTTTGGAAAAGAGTCGCCCGTTTTCTACCTCCCGGCAAATGGCGTTGGCAACCAAAAGTTTCTCAGCGGGATTGAATGCTTTTTTTTGTTGTTGCAAAGATTGGAATTTTTTTTTACAACAGAAAAGATTGGATTGAATGCTTATCGTTGCGCAGCACTGCAGCATGGATGGGGGACCACCGGCAACACAGTTACCTACACTGCTGCACACACGCGGTTGCCACTAGCAACATCGATGATTCCAGCAGCACCTATGGATCGTTTTTTTTCCTTCCTTTCTTTCTTTGCTGTATGCTCTTTTGATTGCTTCCCAAAAAATAAGCTTTTACACAAAGCAGAAGCACAGGGAAGAAAAGAAACGGCACTCGGAGTAGACATTTAAAAAAAAAAAAGCTTCTTTTGAGTGATAGTACAGTACGGCCTTGTTTAGATTACAAGTTTTTTCACTCTCTCTATCACATCAAATCTTTAGACACATGCATAGAGTATTAAATGTAGATAAAAAAATAATTAATTACACAGTTTGATTGTAAATTACGAGACGAATCTTTTGAGCCTAGTTAGACCATAATTGGACAATAATTATCAAATACAAACGAAGTGCTACAGTGATCCCAACCATCATCTAAACAAGGCCAACGTATAAAATTCTGGAATGCAAAGTTGCTACCAGGGCACTTGTCCACTACTAGGAGTAGTGATTAAATATGGGCAGGAACTGACTCCAAAGTCAAAGTTCCAAATAATAATACAAGTCGTTGCCAGAAGAGAATAGATGCTTCCACATGCGAAAGCCAGCGCATGCATCGGCAAACTGGCACACTACGACGTGCTACAGTAGGAGCACTCCTGTACAAAGATAGAAGGAAAACGGCTGCCACATGTGACCCACCATGCCCACATACCCGTCTTCTCTAACCAAAAAAAAATGGTTTCCTTAATTGTGAAGTGAAGCTCAGGCCTCAGTTGTTGCGTGTTGAATTGAGACAACCACCGCTTTGGGTGATCAACCACCGCTTTGGCACTAGAGAGAGGATCATCACAGAGGAGGAGAGTCCCCATGTGTTGTGTACTTGGGGGTTTCCGGATTCCCCACACCAAATCTGGCCTTCAACTCAGATACAGCTGACTGCGGACTGCCTCGGATCTGCTGGTGGTAAAGGTGGTTGCCACCAAACTCCTTGTCCCATCCCCCAGCAAAACTCCAAACTCTAGATCACGCACTTGCATTTGCGTTTGGGTGGGGGCGTGCACACGTCCCATGGCCAAATGAAACTACTACTAGTACTACTGCGAGATCCATTGACCAAAGATGATTTGGCTCCAAGATCAAGAGAGACTGAGAGAGGCAAGCATACAACATGATCGGTTTTGTCTATCTTTAAAGGAAGGAGGAAAGAACATGTTTTTTTTTTGGTAAGAAAAAAGGTCGACAGAAGAAAAAAAGAGAGTGAGGGAGAAATGCAAATAAAGCAACCTCACCAAAACGGCCATATAATTTAGTTGCCCCTTCAATTGTAATTGATTCTCCAAAAATAGGTTTATTAATTAACAATTAAGCTTTCCTTTTAACAACAGTCAACCACAGTAATACCAGCAACCAGCTAATCAGACGATGAAGACAGCATATATGACCGTAGTAATTATAATTACTATAGGAGTATTAATCAACCCTACCGAAAGAAGAAGAAGAAAAAAGGAAATTACCCTCCTTTACATCCGCATCACTGCAGCAGTAACACCAGCAGCGGACAGAGAGAGTTATTACCAGCAGCAAGCACCCATGCCCCATGGCCAGCCATGTCGACCTCTGCTTCCTTCCTTTCCGGCCGGCGGCCTCTGTTTCTTCGCTATGGACAACACAGACAAGGGACCGGACGACGACGGACGGACCTCACCTCACCTGAGGCTGGCAGCCTAGACCTCGACGTGGCAGTAAGTGGCGGTCTGGAACTTGAACCCACTCGCCCCGGGCGCGCCGTTCCCACCGGTAGTGACAAGGAACGCCGGGCACGTCACAAACAGGTGGTAGTGGCCGGAGATCCAGCTGCCGACCTTCCACCGGACGCGGCCGTCGATCTTGACCTGCAGAATCAGGTACCCGGCCTGGCAGTCCTGGCGGAGCGCGTCGGCGAGGTAGGGCGCGAAGGGGACGTCGGGCCCGGACAGGACCGGCGACCAGACGTCGACGTCGCCGTGGCCCTGGTACACGGCGGGCAGCGCCGCCGCCACCGTGATCTGCTGGTACTTGTAGGAGGCGTACACGTCGAGACGGTCGTAGTAGACCCCGACCTTGTCGTTCGGGTTGCGGGAGGCGACCGTCACCTGGAGCGTGGTGGAGAGGACCGACGAGGAGGTGCCGTTGGAGAGGTCGAGCTGGCGGAGGGAGGCGTCTTGCAGGAAGAAGCGTGGGTGGGTGGGGCGGAGGACCAGGTAGACGATGAGAGCGATGATGGCGACGAGGAGGACGAGGACGAGTAGGATGGCCAGGAGGCGGCGGCAGGAGCGCCGGAGGTCGTCGTCGCCGTGGCTGCCGCAGTCCTTGCTCATGGCTGATGGTTGTGGTGGAGGAGGTGGTGGTGGTGGATGGGGGTGGTGAGTGGGTGAGCTGTGGTTCTTGGGAATTGGGATCGAGTTGGATTGTGAAGGTGGAGTGGAATGGAATTGGATGGAGAGGGGGGCGAGGAGGAAGGGAAGGGAAGAGAGGGAGAGAGAGCAGAGGAGGAGGAGGGTGCTGGTTCGTGAAGGTGAGTAAAGTGGGTCAATTAATAGGCTAGGAGAGAGAGAGTGTGTGTGGTGGTGAGAGTGTGCGCGCGAAGAAAGAAGGAAGAAAGAAGGTTCCCAGTGAAAGTTTCGAGGGGGCTTTTTGCTTGCGCCTGCAACGTGTCTCATGTGTATTCTACCTCTCACTCTCTCGCTCTCGCTCTCTCGTAGTCGTAGACTCGTTAGGTGAAGTGAGGACTGAGTACTGAGGATTACCGCTGACTTGCGCAGAGCAGTGAGTCATCAGGATGGAGACATGTTGTATATTACTGGTTGTGGTTAGGATTAGGAGACTTGATCGATGACGCACAGCAGCGTGCTTTATTAGTTCCGAGATCTCTGTCGGTCAGCCGAGCCCGAAACTAACGGTACTTACTCCGCATAATATACCCATACATACGACTGCGAGTTCCCATCCATTGTTGCATCGGTTTCATTCATGTGCGGGCAGGTTTGAGGAGGGACACACGGTGGGTGGGCTCCGAGTTGGATTGGAATGCTTTCAGGTTGCGATTTATTCCAGCAATTAAGCAACCTCTGTGTCGACTCGACTCGATCGCGTCCACGGAGCAGAGCAGAGAAAAGGAAGCAGGCGCACCTGACTCCATCTGCACCCGCGCGCGGCCAACGGAGAAAGGCAGAGTTGGCAGCAGCTTAAAGCTGGCATGGCGCCGCCGAAACCCGAGTACCCGACGGGTTTTACCCGATAAGAAGGTGGGTATGTAAGACATTTTGCATCCACGGTACGTTATTGGACGAATTCTTGTACCCATCGGGTATGCGGGTACGGATGTGGGTGTATACTACACATACCCGCATACCCGCGGGTAAAAAAAAACCCGCATAAATAATATCCAACCTCTGCAATTTTAGCCCATATAAGCATATAGCCCATATTTGACCCATATAAGCATATGAGTATATATATTCTAGAACTCTCTCAAACCCTAATCCTCATCCTCACTCTACTCCATCAGCCCATATTTCTGTTTTGCTGCTCTATTGTTGATTTGTTTTGCTGGAACCTATTATATTTTGATGTGTGAACTCGAGTATATTGTCGGGTAAGAATTACCCGTCGGGTAAGAATTACCCGTCGGGTGCGGGTATGGAATGAATTTTCTACCCGCCTGCGGGTACGGGTAACCCGACGGGTAAAATTTTGATCTGGCGGGTATGGATACGGGTGGCCAGTACCCATCGGGTACGTACCCGTTGCCATCTTGACCGCCAAGGCCTGTTGGCATGGAACGGCGCCTGCCAAGGGCGATGGCTGAACCTGAGCGGGCTACTCCAGGGCCAGTTTAGTTTCCAAAAATTTTGCCAAATACATGAAATCCAAAATGGGGTAGCAGCACACCAAAATGCTGATACCAAAAGTTTTTGCATTTTGCTGTTTACTTGACAAGAATTTTGCATCGATATCAGCAATGAATAGTAGATTTCGGTTGCATTAAATGTGTTCCATGCAAACTGCTGGTGCAGACTGAACCAAACTGGTTGCATGCAGATTTTTAAAAAGAATTTTCTCATTCATCAATTATTCAAACACATAATGAACAGACTTTTCTCATGCAACATTCACAACAATTATTCATTCCTATTACATCACAGACTGCTCAAGCATTCACAGAAGCCGTAACACACTGTACTATAGAAACATGTAATGAACCACACAACTGTCAATTACGATCCATCAGAGCATTAGCAAGCGAATCACGGATGGCATTCATACGTGACCACTCCTCATCCTCCACTACCTCGGGTTCAGGTTGATTTTGATAAGCTTGTCTCGGCACAAAGTTCTCATTTCGGTCACACCTACCGAAATGTTTATCTGCTAAGCCACTAGTCCTCACAAAATTATGAAGAGCCATACATGCACAAATGATTTGGGCTTACTTCTCAGGTGAATAAGGAGGGATCTTTTGCAAGATCCGCCACTTCATTTTCAGTACCCCGAATGACCTCTCAATAACATTCCTAAGAGAAGAGTGTGTGTAATTGAAGAGCTCTTCTTTACCCTGTGGCTCGGGCCCGTCGCGGAAGTCCTGGAGATGGTACTTGCTTCCCTTGTATGGAGCAAGATAACCCAGCCGGTTAGGATACCCGGAGTCCACTAGATAGTATTTGCCTACAACAGCAAACAAATTATGAGCAACGGGTACATAACCAACAAGGAACAATTGCACTCATGTGTACCTACGTACCATTTGGTGGATGTAGAAAGACTGCGGAGTATGTTGTTGTAGAATCATTGAACACTCTCATGTCATGAACAGATCCAGGCCAGCCAGCATTAACAAAGTAAACCTCATGTCGAAGTCACAACAGGCCATTACATTTTGTGTAGTGATGCTCTTGCGGCACAAGTGCTGAATAAACAAATGGTTTGGCACGACACAAGGGATGTGAGTCACATCTATAGCCCCTATGCAGTTCTTGAAGTAGAGATAAAATCTACTACTTCTTAGTGTAGGATGCATTGTTCTGAACTGTGGATCTACTGGTTTAAATTTGTCTGCAGCAAGCCTGATCAGACACCTCAAAACTTTGCTAAACATTGTTGAAATAGTGCCCAATGACCTCTCAAACCTGTCCTCTGCTTGCCTAACAGACTGTGGTGCTCCTACCATCCAAAGAAACATCCCTAAAGCCTCAACAGATGTGGACTTAGTGGTAGACTTGAGCCCATATTTGTCCACTAACAAGTTATGAAGGCTATAGAACATTGTTGGGGTCATTCTAAACATGTTGTAATAAGAATTAATGTTGGCAAGCTTATCATGCACCCACTGGAAACCACTCACTCTTGGAGTCCTATACTGAGCCCTATTTATATACTTGTCAATGTGCACAACAAACTGGTACATACCATGGAGAAACTCATCATCCTCGTCATCAGTCATTAGCTTTTCGATCAAATCATCATCATCATCATCCAATATCATCTGCAGCAACTGTTGTCTTCTTGTATCTTGATCATCATCACCAACCTGTCATGGACAGAGACAAGAGCAAGTTAGTCATTTGATCAAACAGTCCATGAATCCCATGCATCACTCCCTGCCATCCCACATGATCAAGTTTCAAAACAGCACATATATCCATTCCACAAGTTAATATAGGAAAACAGCAAATAAACCCATCGTACTGCATAACAAGTTCAAATTTAACTGACACATCACAACAGGACACAACAAGTTCCTACGCCCTGCACCAAATGCCCTACATGCAAATAAGGCTAAGTTTTCTAGTTGTCCACCAGGCCAGGTTGCGGGATATTCAGCTCGATGACGTGCATCTTCCCTTCCTTAGTGTCTTGGGCAAGGAAGAAGTCCATTTCAGTTTCTGATTGCACTAGCTTGTGCAACCCAGAAAACAAAGTCTTCGTTGTACTATTGATGCCCAGCTCTTGTAGAGCTATCCTGGTGCACTATGTTATCTTCCAGGACTTGTCCTTAACTAATCTCTGCAGCACTTCCTCCCTTCTGCTCTCTCTATCCTTGAAGAACTGTAGCCTCTCTCTGCTTAAGTCATTGTGTGTGGTCATTTGGATGGTCATTGCCCTCACTGCTGGGCTCTTTGACCTCTTGCTGGGGCTGGATGCAGTTGTGCTTGTACTGCTGGTCCTCTTGTTTCCAACACTCATAGGGGTCAGTTCATCCTCCTGCTCTTGTCCTGCTTCTTCATCAGAATCATCATCATTCAAGTCAATGGTCTCTCTTGCAGCAGGAACAAAGGAGGTTGTCCCATCAACTGTGTTTCCTTTGAACATGCCATGCAGATGGTCCAAGTATGCAGGCACACCTTCCCTTCTAATCTTCAGCAAATCATTGTCACCCTGTACAATATAGACCGATGTAGTTGTCAAGCAATTAGGGAATTAACATTTGTTAATAACAGAGCAACCTATATAACAAATTACCTGAGCATTATCATTCCACCATTGGTCAGAAGCATGAATCTTTCCATCTGCATCTATACATAAGCCAGTGTGGTTTTGTGCTTTGTCACACAATGTCCATATTTTCCTGAGTGTTCTCAGCTTGCCTTGAAGCTGTTCTCTATCATGCACCAAGCCTGATGCTAAATAGTACCTCCGAGCGACGTTCTTCCACCCAAATTTGTTCATCTGTCCTCCTAGACAGTTCCCAGCATGTATCTCGGCAAGGTAGGAGTCACAGAACTTCTCTATGTTGTCTGGTAACCAATTTGCTTTATGCTTCTGAACCTAAACGGTGAAGAGGGACAGCAATATTGAACAATAAACACTGACAAGCTTTAACAATAGACATGCAGCTAAAACTAACAAGCATGCAAGAACAATTCATAAACTGAGCTTCTAACAGATCAACATACATGAACATACTTGAACAATACACATGCAGCTAACAATAACGAGCATACAAGACCAATTCAAAAACTAAGCTTCTAACACATCAGCATACATGAACAATTCATAAACTGAGCTTCTAACAGATGAACATACATCAACGTACTTGAACAATACACATGCATCTAACTGAGCTTGTAACACATCAACATACATCATCATACTTGAACAAAAGACATGCATCAGAGAAGGTGCTTGCCGGGTTAGGGACAGCGTAGGAGCCGTCGAAATTGTCGCCGTGGATGGCTGGCCCCGGCCCCCGCGCACGCGAGCGGCCAGCCCGCCGACGGATTGAACCGCTTCCTGGACGCGGTAGAGGAGAGACGAAGCCACCGCCGACGGATGCGGGCGGACCATCGAAGGCGGCACCTTCTGTAGCTCCACCTACTCC